TTCATGATCTTGAAATTATAACTCAAATACGCCGGATCTCGGTAAGGGGGCATATTGATGTTTATATGGAGCTTTTATTATTTTGTTATGTACTTTCTGCTATAGAAATGTTATCATTGTTTGAATCACCAAATTACCGAAACCACTCCTCGTGCTCCAAAGAGAACTTTACGAATAGGAGAAACACCTCCCTCTTACAACGGCTCTTTAAATCTGCTAACAAGTCACAAACAAAACATAAATTATGTTTTTCTTTCTCACCTCACGTAATAAGAAGAGAGTAATAGTGTAAACCAAAATTGTGGACGCATGAGAACTACAGATAATATTTATGACAGTACCTACGACCGATTCACCATACGTATAGAACGAGTGGTAATAAATATTCGCATAAAATCCCGGCCATTCAGTAGGCACTGGGAGTAGCCGAGCTACTCTACGTTACTACTTTTTTAAGTATCCGCCAAATAGGACTATAAATACAAAAAACCATAAATGTTACCAACTTCAAATTTTAATTAATCTTTAAACGAAGTGTTGACGTGAGGGGAACGAACTTGCAATCGCAGGTCAGATGTATTCTATTAACATATCTGCCCAACAAGTTCTGCAAGAGGGGCAACTATAAGGGTTGCCGCAGAAACCGGTAGGTGTGTCGGTATCGTTCAAGAAACTATTGCCGCTCTCATATCCTTCTAGGTTGACGATGATTTGTTCGTACATACATATGTGGATAAATTTCAGATGTATCGAATCCAATAACTCTATTTCATGCACAATGACAACTAACTGCGACTTCCCGGCCGCATTCCATTGGCGTGATTCTTCCGCTGAACAGATAAGTTTTAAAAAAATTACATCAGGCTGATGTGGTGTAGAGTCTAGATAAAATTTTCGTTTTAAAGGATATGTTCGGCCAAGCAAGAAGTTAGCTACGAACATGTACATTTCCAAAAAATCATATGGATATCATTTAAAAACGCTATGATCTGGACATTTCTTCCCTACCCTACTGCCAGTATCGATCATCTGACAACCCTGCTGAACCACAGCAGTCATGCCAAAAGCCTTTGTTTCGTTTTTCGCCTTCAGCTCCTCCGCTGCACTGATGGGGAGAGTGAATCACAAAGGCCTCAAATACACTTATGACGTCAAAAAACTCAAATTTGTTCACGAGATTTCACAATGCTCTGACAATAACAGACTTCCGCTTAGACATCTACTGTTATTTTAAGTATCTCTTTAATAGCTTCTAGTCCGACTATTTTATAGGTGCTTTTATTTCCCACTGTTTCTCGAACGTTTTATCGTTTATGGCAACGATACACATTTTATTGCGAAAAACATATATTTACAGCACATCCACTAGGGCAAGTTTATTTTAAAGTAATACCGTATTGCAATTTTGATAATTGTTCACGGAATCGGGTGTTCCATAAGTAGGTTTTTTTCATGGGTACGTGTGTTCAAATTTCTAGTTCAATTACTGTTTTTCTATTGTCAACATCTTGTTCAAAACAGAGTTGCATTATTGTTGTTACCAGAACCATACGTGCGCTAGAGAAGAATGATAACTTCAGGAATTTTCAATTCATTTCCAAAAATGTTCGATTTACTATATTACTCTTATTTGTGAATGTTAATGTCAATGACTGATATCAGAAACCGCCTCTGAATAGCTTCGATTTTATGAGGGTAAACTTCACAGACAGGATACCATATTATAGAACAGTATTCAATTTTGGATCTATCAACAACGGAATCATGGTATTTGCATTATTCAATACGCTCAACCAATGTACGTCTGGTGTCGAATAATATACCTAATTCATTAAAGCCCTGACACATGTTTGGGCGTGAATTATCAGTGTTATAATATACAGAATGGCGCATCGAAAACGAAACAGACGCATTTACTGGCAGCTCAGTTTTTTTTTTGAAAAACGCTGAGACCTGTCGATTTTGTTTTCGAGGGGGACACAAGTTTGGCAAAAAATCACGTTAACACGTGCAGCTCCTTGGGCGGGGGTGACACCAAATCTAAAATCTTAAATGGAAAGGGGGGTCGAGTGATACCTCATTTTAAAGGTCCTTCAATTCCCTTTATAATGATGTAAAATACATGAGCTTCAGTTCAGTAGTTTTAAAGATTTATTGATTTAGAGCTTAAAGTAGACTTTAATAGGTACATCAGATTAGTCTGTACTACTTTCAGAAGAAATTTGACTAAAAGAATTTACTTAATAAGTAAACGCTTTTCTTCACTACGCCCATGGTTTGTTTATCATTTTGTTGTTGAAAATAGCTATTGCAGCATTTTTTGTGGAAAAAAAGTTATTTCTTGAAGATAAGGAAATATCTCGTACTTATTTTAAATAGGAACTTACATAGTTTGCGATTGATTTGACCAAACTTTGTTGCTAAAATAACTTGTAATGCTTTATTACATAAATTAACCATGGTATATTCCATAGCAGAAAGAGTTAAAATTATCGAAAAAAATTTCGGAAATAATCAGTGCTCTAATAGAACAGCAGAAATATTTAATGAGCGACATGAGAACAGTAACGTGCATCGAAAATATGTTCTAGAACTTGTAGCTAAATTTCGGGAAACTTGGTCAGTCGCCAATAAAAAACGCAACATTGAAAATCCGATAAGGAACGAAGCAATAGAAGTGGGGGTTTTAGGGCAAGTTTATGTAGATCCTACGTTAAGTAGCCGCAAATTGGAGACTGTGTGTGGTGTTAGTCGACGTAATGTCCAACGGATTCCAAAGGCCCATAGTTTTCATCCGTATAAAATTCTCCTGGTACAAGAACTTAATGAATACGATTTTGATCGAATTATAAACTATGAACATTTTCTCTTCAACACTTGCTTTTCCGACGAATGTTCCTTTTTCTTAAATGGCGTAGTAAATCGTCATAACTGCCGATATTGGTCCGATTCTAGTCCCAGAATTTATAATGAGGTTCATACACAGCAGCCACAAAAATTAAATGTTTGAGCTGGTATGTTTGGCGATCATTTAGTTTTTTCTTACCTAGAAATTTGACCGGTGAAATGTATTTGGAATTACTGGAAGACGACATAGATCCTGCATTAACAGCCATAATTGAAAATCAGAATGATCGGCGGTGCATTGCGAATAGGTTGATGTTCCAACGGGATGGTGCCCCACCACATTACGCATTACGCGTTCGACAATATTTAGATCAGACGTTTCCAGATCCAGGGATTGGTAGAAGAGGTTCCTTTGAATGGCCCCCAAGATCGCCAGATTTATCACCTTTGGATTTCTTTATGTGGGGTCATTTAAAAAGCAAAATCTATGCTACTCAGCCAACATCATTAGAAGACCTGCGACAAAGAATTGTGAATGAGTGCCTTCAAATTACTCCTCAAATATTGCAAAATGTGCGGCAACGTTTTGAGCAAAATCTTTATTATTGCATGGAGAGTCATGGTGGACATTCTCAATATTTACTTGCCTACCGGGTTAGTTCATTTTTCATTTTTTAACTACTTTGCTGCCAAATGTATTGATCTCCACTAATGATGATGTATTAGTTTTATTTAAGCTTTAAATCAATAAATCTTCAAAACTACTGAACTGAAGTACATTAATTTTATATCATTATAAAGGGAATTGAATGACCTTTAAAATAAGGTATCACTCGACCCCCCTTTTCATTTAAGATTTTGGGGGTGGTGTCAGCCCCACTTAGGGGGCTGCACGTACTAACGTGATTTTTTTCCAAATTTATGTCCCCCTCGAAAACAAAATCGACTGGTCTGAGCGTTTTTCCAAACAAAAACTGAGCTGCCAGTAAATACGTCTGTTTCGTTTTCGATGCGCCACAATGTATAAATCTGATTGGTGTAATAGATATCGACATTAAGGTATAGCTAGTTGCGATCTCACGATTTATTCAGATTGTCTTTTTGCAAAGTACGACAGTCAACCATTGTTTCAATTTTACAAAAGATTTTCAAATCATCGGCATAGAAAATACAGCTAGTGTGCAGCTCCCTAAGTGTTACAGATATTGGATATCAACTTCCTACAATACGTGTTTGTATCATGTTTTAGTATGAGAGTTAATTGTATGTAATGAATGAAATAATAAGTTGCCCTTTGTCTCTCTTTATATTCAATTTCCCTGCCAAGAGACGACTTTCTCTACGGAACGCTATCGATATTATTTTCCAAATAAAAATGGGAACTAAGATATTACAAATTGAAAAAGGCAGGTCATTATTAAGGTATTACACAATATAAAGAAACATCGCAGAATTTCAACAAAGACAGTCAATCTCCGCAAATTGACTCCTTTGGTAAGGAGAATTTGTTCTCTGCATGAATACAGAAAATTTTTCTTATAAGCCCTTGGTATTTTCCTGGAAAATACTCATCAGCTTAAGGAAATGTCATATACCAAACCTGCCTTGATTCATTTGTTCTGAGTTAACAAATACAGGGTGTTTCCAATACAGTGGTTGACACACTAATAAAAAAATTTGACTGAAAGATGATTTTCCCCAAACAAGTATTTTGAAGGGACACAAGGTACCGTCAACCGGGGCTACTTTGTCATGTTTTTGAAACATATTCTACCATACCTGTCTTATTTATTAAGATAACAGCTTAAAATAAATTTTAATGTACCAAGTGAGCCATTGCGGATAGAGTCGTTAGTCAAGATTTTGACATTATATCATACTTGAAGAAATAAAAAATAGGGTGGCAATGTTACCCCGGGTCTGGAGATACTTTGTCACCTTGTGGAAATACCATTTGAATCGCGTTCTGTTGATTTTTGTGACAAAGTAGCCCCGATAAAAAGATGGACATAAAAATATTAGGTAGGTACATAGAGAGTATATATTTTTTCAAGGTAAAAAACTTTGAATTCTTAATGGTAACTGTATAAAAACTGAAAACTTATTTACGGGTCAAAGGTGGCGTCGACATCGCTATTATCGCCGAAAGGTTCGTCTTCTTCTTCGGACTCAACCTCACACCTCAAACACACAAAATAGGGATCTTTGCTACCCTCATTACATATGCCACATATCCACTTCTGGCATCTTAAACATTGAATTCATTCGAGAGTGCTGTTGTAGTTTTCAAATTTAGCTGAGCAGATTCCACACTTTGAAGTGTTATCGCGATTCCTTAATGCCTTTTTCGTAATATTTGTTGACCTCGGCTGTTTAGGAGCGGACCTTTTCTTTTTTTGAGATAATACCAGATGTAGCACTGATATTCAAGTTTTCGGACTCAGAACAAGGCAATTCGTCGTCATCAGATTCAACCCCCATGTCTTTAGGTGCATCCTGTTTAGCTATTGTGTCCATTTCTTGCACCGGTTTAAACTTCTATCCCCTTTTCCGCTTTTTCTGTTCGTCTGATGTGCCCCGTATTTCTTTCAACATGTCTACTAGACTGGCGTCAGGAGAACGAGAAACTTCTTCACTGGTGGGTAAAGCTCCGGGAATTTTTCTTAAAAGTTCGTCTGGGTTCATGGGATATAGTCCTGTAGTCCCAAACCCAGACTGTAGATTTTTTCGACACTATCATTGATCTGAACCCAGAGCTTTGCAAGTAACCGGGAGAATTGCTCTTTAGGCAGGGTGCCTGTGTATCCACTCTCCTTTCGCCACCGTTCTAAAATTTCGCGCCACTTCCTTTTTAGAGGGGCGAAAACAGCCACGTCTAATGGCTGCAACAAATGGGTTGCCTTGGCCGGAAGTGGACACATATACCTAAATATTGTTCTCCTTGGCAGCTTGTATAACGGAAGGGGCGAAATAACTCGCTAAATTATCACGAATTACTACTGTTTTTGCTCCAGCTTCTCGTGTTGATTGTACGTGTGGAAGCAAACCATTTTTCAAACTGGCTCATGTCAAACCAGCCTGAAATGGTATTCCAGTATACAGTTCCAGGATTACCCCCAGTACACCAATTTTCATACAAGTTGCTGGTCTTGTACACCACCATTGGTGGCAATAATTGACCAGCAGCATTTCCGGCCACCATTATGCTAGTGCAAGAGCGTGAATAGTTCTGAACCCGTTCAACTCTTCTGAAGTTCCTCGGTACTATTACTTTCTTGGCACCAGGATCATTGGCTATATTGGTTTCATGATAGTTGTAGATGTTTTGAAGACTTGCATTTAAAAGAGCGCCTCTATTAAAAAATTCCAACACATCGGCTTGGCCCACGGATGATCGCGCGCGCTTTATGTTTGTGGCCATCCGCACTGAGAGGTTGTTCTTTCTCAGAAAATTATCAATAAAATCCTCACCTGGATAATTGTCTTTAAACACACTCACAACTCTACCTTGTTTATCCAAGTATTTTTTAAATACTGTGCGAATATCTAATTTAGTCAAAGGGAAATCCCAGTTGGACACTTGCCCAAGAGTATCTGCAATCACCTGTTGCTCCTGCTGATATAGAACAGTGGGGTGACCGCATTTCCTGTTATGTCTTCCAAGACATCTATTTACAAGAGTAGCCCGTGGGATTTTGAACAATATGGCTGCCCGTTTTTTGGACATACCACCTTTGACAGCGTTCACCGCTTTTTCAAGGTCCTCTTTGGAATAATTCTGATAATTCCGGCTCCCCGGCATTTTTATATATTTTCTGACCATTTTCATTTAGTTAGTACCTGTAACAAAGAAAAAACGTTGTACAAAAAAATTAGTAATCAAAACAAAGAATTAATCAAAAATCAGTATGGCTGCACCCGAGGTGACAAAGTTACCCCGGGAGGACAAAGTATGACGGTAGTGATCAGAAACACTCCTAAACACATGTGATTCTAAGAAGTGTTGAAGTTTGGATTTTATAAGCATGAACTAAACCCAAAATAACAGATTTGGGTAAGCACTAAGCATAGTGAAAATATCTAGATACTCATTTCAGAACTACAGCAAAATACGAGGGATGTCTTTTAAGTTTTGCATACAGAAACATAGTAGGCCGCGCGGATCGAACATCAGTACTGAATATTAACCTCACTCTTTAGTAAACTTAAATTCAAAGTTTCACAACAATACGTGCAGTGTTCTCAATACAGTGAATTTTTGAGTGTCACCAAGTTATTAGAAAAATGGAACTCAACCGAGAACATTTTCGCGCCATAACTTATTACAACCTTCAGAGACAGTTATCGCAACAAGAATGCCTTGCTGAGTTACTGTCTGTTTTCGACAACGAAGCGCCACAATTTCCCGTGGATATGGAGAATTCAAACGTGGACGGGTGAGTCTTAGCGACGATCCCAGGGTGGGTGCACCAAAAACGGCAGCCACCCAGGAAAACGTCGATACTGTGTGCAAACTCATCAATCAAGATAGACATGTGACATATCGCGGGGTTGAGGCATCCTTGAAGATCTCAAAGACCTCAATTCAAAAAATTTTACATGAAGAATTAGGAGTAAGAAAATTAATTTCTCGTTGGATACCCCACCTGTTGACTGAAGAAGCAGAAAGCAGACAGGGTTAATTGGTGTCAAAAAGCATTTTACCGTTTCAATTCCGGAAACTCAAAAAAAAAATGTATACAGCATTGTTGGTGGCGCTGAATCGTGGATTTACTGCTAGGAACCAGAAAATAAACGACAGTCGGCTGTTTGGGTGTTCCAAGGTGAAGAAAAGCCAACAAAGGTCATCCGTTCTCGAAGTGTTTCGAAAAAGATGGTCGCGACATTTGTGTGAAAAGCGGGTCATATTGCAACAATTCATCTTTAATGAGCAATGAACTGTTACTGCGGATTGGTATACCACCATTTGTTTGCCAAAAGTCATCACCGAGCTTCGAAAAATCAACCCCGAAAGAAGAATCATCCTCCACCAAGACAATGCAAGCTCTCACATAGCCCAAAAAACAAGGCAGTATTTAACGGAATTATTGGACCAGCTTCCATACAGTCCCGATCTAAGTCCTAACGATGTCTTTACTTTCCTGAAAATTAAAAACAGACTGCGTGGTCAAAGGTTCCAGTCACCAGAACAAGCAGTTGACGCATTCAAAAATGCCGTTTTGGATCTGCCAGCAAACGAGTGGAATAAGTGCTTCGAAAATTGGTTCGAGCGCATGCAGATGTGTATTAATCTTGGAGAATACTTCGAAAAACAATAAAGTCATTTAAAACTACCTACCGTGTTGTTTTATTTCCATATGCAAAACTTTAAAGACATCTCTCGTATGCTTAGTCTCGTCTTTTATAATGAAAATAATGATAACACACAATTTGCACAAAATAAGGCGAAACGAATACAAATTGTATATATTTCGATTATTCAAACAGCGTCATAAAGATATATATATTCATTTAAACGGTAATACATGTTAAGATGTCAAAGCATATGATAAATTACACAATGACAAAACAAATTAAATTGTCAATAATAATAAATTATAAACTGGATAATAAAAGCAATTATCATCCATGAGTTAATCCCCCATGTTTCTGTGGCTGGCACACACATTTAAAATTTCTCATTATTGTACGACATTTCGGTCCTAACGGTATAATTGACACATTTTTGCCAACATATTTTATTTTTAAAATTATATTTTATTTTAAAGTCACAATTGTACTTGAAGAAGTTCACTGTTGGGACTGAAACGTCCTACAATAAAGAGGAATTTAAAAAATATATGGTTTGATTCTGCTAGAGAAACATGCGGGATTAGCAACATGAAAACCACAGGATAAGTTTCAGATGATCCATTACTCAGGCGTTCTTGGAGTTGCGGTAGTAAATGCTTTGAACATGGTACTCTGCGGTAGATTGTGTAACCACACCATGTAATAAACTTAGAAGTATACATTTGGAACAGATAAGTCGGATCGTAAGTCTGCTATGAAATCAAGATGAAAATTCACCTTCCATCCGATCACATACCTACATATTTTCGAATTCACCAAATTCTCTTTTTGAAAATCACTAGGGGCAGTGGCAGGTATTGGAGTTACTTAAAAAAACGGCCTACGTGACTCGAGGTATTACACTAACAACTGCCATAGTTGTATCTGCGTAGGGCACCGCGGCTGCAATAAGGAGCTTAAAAAGATGTATCAAACCGATTTTTGAACTGCATAAGGTTACCAGGGTGATTTTTTAAGAGGTACATAGGATTGGATTTTAAAAAAAACCAAAAATTTGAAAAAACGATTAAATCTTTATTTGAGTCGATAGAACGGTCGATATAATTTAATGTTTAAAGATTATTTCATGTAAATGTTGGCCGCGGCTCCGCTTTAGATGGCCCATGCGCAAGGTCCAATTTTGGCACACTCTCTCCAACATATCGGCCGGTATCTCACAAATAAATGCTTCAACAGTAGCTTCCAGTGCGTCAATCGTTGCTGGTTTATCCCTGTAGACATTAGCCTTAACATGGCCCCACAAGAAATAGTCCAACGGCGTTAAATCACACGATCTCGGCGGCCAATTGACTGGCCCCAAACGTGAGATAAACTGTTCACCGAACTCGCCTCTCAATAGGGCCATTGTTTCGTGTGCGGTGTGGCATGTGGCACCGTCTTGTTGAAACCACATGTCAGCCAAGTCCAGCTCTTCCATTTTGGGCAAGAAAAAGTTTGTTGTCATCGCACGGTAGCGCTCGCCATTCACAGTTACGTTCCGGCCATTGTCGTCTTTGGAGAAGTACGGCCCGATGATGCCACCGGCCCATAATCCACACCAAACAGTGATTTTTTCGGGATGCATTGGTAGCTCTTGCAATGCTTCTGGCTGGTCTTCACTCCAGATGCGGCAATTTTGCTTGTTAACGTACCCATTCAACCAGAAATGAGCTTCGTCGCTGAACACAATTTTTCGATAAAAATGTGGATCTTCCTCCAACTTTGCCAGCGCCCATTCACCAAATTGGAAACGTTGTGGGAGGTCGTGTGGCTTCAATTCTTGCACCAGCTGTATCTTACATCCAAATCCTGTCGCCGACCAAATTGCCCATAAATTGGAAGCACATCCAGCACATGCTCTCTCTTAACCGAGCATGAATTTTGTTCGTTTTGTTCGTAAGTCGATTCATGGTCAAATTATAGACCAAACTGAACAAGTTTGACAACGACACAAGACACGATTCACGCGTCATCTTGTCAAAAAGATACTAGCAAAAAAATCACCCATTAGAACTGAGAAAAGCCTCCTCATATAGATACCATAGGGACGAAGGAGCGGTCGTATCGGCAAGTTCTAGAAGTTCAATACGGTTAGGATGGGAGAACGAAGTCTGGCAGGCATATCGCGCGGCGGCATCATGCAGGAGAGCTCTGAGGAGCAAATCCCCCGAAGACAGTCCGTTCGAGAAAAGTCATCGATCAAGACGACAGCCATCCTCTGAACAGCATCGAGCATGGAAAATATAGCGGATGCGGCAGTACCACAAACATATGAGCAGTACTCGAGGTGAGGTCTTATCTGGGCCTATAAAGGCCCACAAACGGCCTAGCTTTTTCACAGTAACTGCCGCTATTAACGAGACGTATTATGCCAGATGAAGTCCTCAGTGGTCCGGCCAGTTTGACACCAAATGGCTAGTCCTATAGGTACCGTACTGATGATTGCTAGAAAGCATGAGAACGTTGTATTCGGTTGATCAAGGATACATAGATAAAAGATTCAGTCCGGTAAGGATATAAATCAAAAGCATATATTAAAACAGATTAAGACAAAACGCCAAAAAGGATACCCTGGTATAAAAGGGTACAGAGAAAGTCGTGCAAAATATTTAAGGACATTGTAGATTAAGTCATAACCTACAGATTTTACCATATGATATCCAGAAATCAACCATAATTGATATTTTTTACTTTCAATTCTCCATGTTTTTCTGAACGTTGAATGAAACCACATAGAATTGACTGCGTACTGCCGACTGAACTTCCAACAATATCGACAATACCAAATGAAAGTGATACTGACTGTGGCTAGCCCATGCATTAGCTGAAGCACGCACGTCGCAAAATTTATTGATTGGACTTGCTGCAGCCAGAATCTACGAAATTTACTGACCTGGCACAACAAATCGGTTATTTTTAGGTCCAGATTGAAATAAACTGCACTGTGAAAGTGTTCCAAGGCAAGAAGGCAGAAAACGTTGCGAATTGCGTTTGATTTAGACATCAAACATTCAGTTGAAATATCTCCTTAAAACGTTAACAAGGCTGAAGCAGAAGCTGCCCAATTCAAGAAGACTGGCGTGATGTCGCAGTGGCGCCACCAATGTTAAGCTAACAACTAGATAATATATACGTGTCAGCAACCGTCTTTAGGTGCCAGATTTGATACATTTCGAAGTCTCACAAACAATTACAGGGGACGTTGAGGAATGATCTTTCCTTGAAACGATGATATCACTTTACAAATAAACAGTTTTCTTTAAAACGAATACGAAGTCTCTTTTAATACTTCTAATGGAATTACTGCGAGCATACTTGGCAACATAGCTCTGGGGATGAAAACTGTATGCAATCCTATGAGTGAGCATTTTCATAAAAAGGTATTTGTATACACAACCCTGTATGGTATTTTATCGCAACTGACGGTAATTCATTTAAGCAAACATTAATTATAATCGTTGGTTTGCGGGGTATTTTGTCACGACCATTACAGATAAAAAATGAATGTTAAAAGCTCTAAGCATGCGTCACACTCCATACCGATAAGAGTCGGTTGCCAAATACGGTGCAAACTCGAGTGTAATTCAGCCACTCGTTTGTGATGCACATCACAGAAATTATACTCGGTTGAAGCATTGATGAAGAAGCAGCACGTACCTGTACATACATTTTCTGGCAGTTTTCGTTGATTACAATAGATGAAATCAATAGAATTAGTGCCCTGAACCGGTGTTGTTATTTTCCATGAATCATAATGATAACTACTATCTTTGCTGAACATTCCTCATATCAACTAACTCCACTCTTAGCGTTACTTGGCATATTCATAACAGGTATTCTATGATAATCTCTCATACGAGTGATTCCAGGATCACCATTTTTTAGTAGAAATACTACGAATCGTATGTTTGCGAATGCGAGAATTTGGAATAAGCCTCCTCTGATCTCTCATTATTATGCAACACTTACTTTGTTTTTACACTGAAGTTCAAAAGTTATAGGCAGAGAACTGAATAAGTGAACATACTTACTAAACATATTATAGTGTTTATTGTTTTAAAATGTTTTGTATGAAACAAGAGCACACGCAACACAAAAAGTTATATAGCTCGGTCAGCAGTTTCCACGAGTTTTCATAAACCGTTTTTTAGAATTCCAGAAAATAAACCACATCATACCCTGTGGTAGAAGAAACTGTGAAGGTAGTATCAAGGAAAATAGATACATCTACTTTACGTAAATATAGTACGATGAAAGATATGTGGGAGGTTCTTATTGTGGATACACCTTATCATTTAATGTCTATGCAGGTTGAAGTTGGTTCCAAAATTGTTTAAATTCATTCCACATTGTTTTTCAAATTGGCATTGAGGACAACGAATTACGAATAAAGTAAATGCATAAATTTTACCTTTTACGACAAATTAACTGCAATTATCACATTTTGAAATAGGAAAGCGATAGTACTCTAGTGATAATACGACAGATAAACAGGTACCGTTTTAACAACTGGAGCAATTTTGTACAAAAATGCAACGAACAGATTTTCTATCGTTTTTTCGACATACCTACCTATTTTTTCGCAGCACTCCCAAATAGATTATCAAGACACTACTGAACGTATTTTCTGAATCCTGCGATATAAAACAAATTCCAGAATTTCAAGAATAGAAACAGCGGCTCGTCCCGACAAGAGGTTTCTAACTATAAGAGAGTGTCAGTGAGTCAGTCAACCATACAAATTACTTTTAATCCTAGCCTAGTTCCGGGATTGTTAGGATTTCGTTGAAGAAAAAGAAATAGGGTAATGAACAAATGTACGTGAAGTTCGATACTTAACTTTTATTTTTCCTCATCACATTACCGAATATTTTATGCCGAGTACGACAGTAGTCCTATACTGCATAGCTACATAGTTTCGTAATTATCTTCATGCTTGACTGGAGATGGAAGCGATTTTGTTTCTCTCCAAAACATGTGAACCACAAGTCTGATCCACTGTAAAAATCAGTTCTGGACTCTCAAAACATTTATTGAAAATAAATAACTTCAATGTCAAACCTCAACCCTTCTATTAGAATGTATTTTCGCGACGTATTTCGCAACCACCGGTGGCACAGTTTCCTGTACACCCACGCAGGCGTATTGCTCCGTCTGGAATAGTCACGTCGACCATTCAAATGGATACCAACCTGTGGAATTTGCAGCTCTCCATCTCCTTCCAGATCGGAGATCTGCACACCATCCAGATCAGAGTAGAAGGGGCCACTGCAATCACCGTCCGACACGACACTACTACCGCAACTGTGGCCTGAATCCTCCATATTCGTCAGGTCGGCATGCTTGTATTCCGAACCCATGCCGCCGTTTTGGTGCGGCACTACTTCTATTTGAGAGATGCACGAAACTGAATGCAAGTTTGCGAAACACAGATACACACGAGTAACGGCGAGTAAGAGAGCAGACAACGGACGATAACCACACACTACGACGATCCGCGGCACACTGTCAATTTCTCGGCAGTCGGTGGCGGCGAATCGCAGTTGGCGTTCACGATCGTAGCTGGTTTCGACGTCGACGTCGCGAGGAGGGAGACAGGAGCACGCGAAGCGACGCTGAGCATGCGTGATTCGCACGGACTGATTGCTAGATCCCTCTCGCTGCTCACGTTGCCACATCTACGTATTTGGTAATAAATTAAAGTACTTTTTCTGCAAAAGAGTTTTTCCAGTTTAGCCTCGATCCCAGACTGACAAAAGAAGAAGAAACAACTAACGGTTTTTGGGAATACTACAATAAATTTCCACCTTCTTGTAAGAAAAAGCTTGGGGAAGGTTTCGGAATTTTTGAAACTTGTAGCAGTTTTGTATGAAATATATGCATACAAATGGAGTCCTGTAGATTGATCCAGTGCTTCTTACACATCAATATATGAAATATGAATGTTTTTAAAATTACACAAATATACCAGGACAAACCATCTCAAGTGTTGCAGCTACACCAAGTTCCATTATGCCCTGAGAAAATGGTCAAAAAGTTGAGGAACAGAGCTCTTTTTACGTTATAACTTCTCTAGAAAAGTTTCTTGGACCGCCCCCAGATCCAGAACGTCCAGACCCACAGATTATAGCTCAATATGTGTCCGAGTTGCTCTAGTTATAGAGACAATCACACAGATAGAAGAAGAGCGACATATTTTTGTAGTGATATCACGTCTAAAAAACATAGTAGTAGTATCTATTCACTGTTATAAGGCTACCCTCATATATACTGATATGGAAAGCCAAAGACATAATAATACATAGTCAAGACGTGTTTACTTGAAATTTAATACGTTGGACGTTAGTTTTCAGTTCACATTGTGCTCTATTAAAACCAACTGTCGATTTCATTTAATAAAAGCTAGCAAGTCTTAATGAAAAGTAATCATAATGATTTGTGCAGATTTCGTCTTTCCATTATTGATATATGAACAGTCAGAATAATTATCACCAGGGTAAAAAAGGCATTTAAATTTCTTTAATATTCGGTTTCTAGTCACAAAGTTCGTTATATTTAAGTAATTCCTAATATCACATGTTACCTTGTTATATATCTGAGAACTTGCATCATTTTCGAGTCGTCATAATATTTTTTAATATCAATCTATCTTTATTTATTTGGCTACATCCTCGAGTGCGAAAACCACTTAAGCTCGAGGAATCGTTTTATATTTCAACTACCTGCAGAATTACATGCAATGAACGACCTAAATCTAAATAGGCACAATCTAAATACTAAACACCTATTAGTCTCCTTTACAACATTTTTTTCGTTACTCACATAACAATTAAATCGGTGCATTTACATTACAAGCACAGCCTACATCAGTATTGAATTCAAGTTTTCGCCAAACGATTGATGCATAATTTGCAACAAGCAAAGGCACGAAACCAAACCTGCGGCAAGCAGAGAGCGCTATCCACCTCTCACCAGCAGATATTTAATGAGATTCCGTCAAGGTCACTCATCTGACGGCTAGCATCGACAGAGATGTGGCAACGTGGCGCGCCGGCCTGGAGTTCCAGATGAAAATGGAAAAGTCCGGTGGTTCCAGCGATTTACTGTCCTTTTCTTTCTTCTTCGGGTAGTCGGGATGCCATCAACAGTTGGCTGATTTATTTATTCCCTCCTTCTTTGACTGGTTCAGTGTGTTTGTGAATAATATGATAGATGATTTGGTCTTGGCGGTGTTTCCTATACCACCTGTAGATGTTGATGCCGCAGATATTTGAGGACATTTCCAAAAAAGTAAAAACATATGTGGTATTCTGAATTTTACTCCTCAAAAGCCACGACAAGAACATATCCGCTAGTTTTGTCTAAAAAATTGTGAGCGTTCAGTCAATGTGTAACGCGGTCCAGCAGTGCAGCGGTTTTATGCACAATATCAGTTAGCTGCTTTGACAGTTCGCAAGATTAATCAACATACACGGGCGGATTAAGAGGAGGCGAGACGGGTGCTCCCTCTGCACCCAGGTCTGCATCCTTTTTCAAGAAAATGGAATATATACAAGGTGTTATTTAAGTACGTAGCCAAACTTCAGGAAGTGATTCTTTGAGTAATTTCAAGATGAAGAGTTCACATAAACATAGTTCCAAAAATGCATCATTTACAAGATACAGAGTGTCATACTTTTTTTTAAAAAAGTCTTCTGAATATCTTAATAAACTTTCACGCCATTTTCTGCAAATTAAGCAGTGTATTAGGCGCAGTAAGGGGCTAATTTATCCCCAATTAGATTTATAATTATTAAGTCTCGTGAGGCCCCGAAAAACACCCTAACCAATATCTAACTTTTTGAAATTATTTAACTTTTTTCAAATTAAGCAGCTGTCTCATATGAGTTTCTTACATATCTCGATTCGTTTGCGGGATAAAAAATAAAAAGAACTTTATCGGTTTTTGGTGGTTGCTGAGATTCCTCTGTTGTTATTGCGTTCATGTTAAATAGCTATATGATAACTTAGAGGTTTAGAGAATAACTTTTGTTTAAAAGACGCGGAGATCACTTGCGAAAAGTGTGATTCTTTGTTGGACAAAAATATATTTCGTAGGCTGCAAGCGGATAATAAATATATGTTTACACACCGCGTATTAATGTGAAATCAAAAGCCAAATGAACAAAAAATTATTTCACTACGAATGGTTGACAACACCGCAATCACTTCTGGCCAAGAATAGAACGCCATCAACTGTTTTGGTTACATCTCTTACCTCTCCCTTACTTAATCGCCTTGACTTACTGTCTTCTCTTGGTATAAATACTCTAGTAAAACTACAGGAATTACATACATCCATCTCCCTCGCATATTCATATGTTATCTTCCCCTATTCTTGGACTTCCATATTTATGCTTGGAATTGTCAATATGACAACTTGTTTTGGGCGTGTCATTGGAGTAATGACTGTAATGACAGTCTGTGTTACATTTATAAAAAATATTCTCAGAAAGCTAGCCTAAGCAACAGTTCTCTATCGCCCAATTATGTGTATGTACTATACAAGAGCGAGTATCAGCTGCATTACGAATCGGTGTACTTAGGCCCGTATCGTCAGTCGTCCCTACAATTGTAGGGCGCCTTTATGGCCTCCTGGATTGTCATAGTTTTCTACTTCTCCGTATCAGCGCTCTATTTTGAGGTTATGTCACAAACATCTATTTGCATCAAATTGTGCTTGCCTTTGAGTTATATCATGTTTTATCAGCCTGAAATTTCCTACAATTTAAAAAGAAAACATATCTTCACAATAGGAGAGCGCTGACGCTGACACGGGACAAGTGTAATCTAGAAATTTTTGAAGGAGAGAAAGGAGTATGACAATCAAGGCGGCCATAAACGCGCCCAACAATTGTAGGGACGACTGACGATACGAGCCTTAGTTAGCAATTTCGGTTTATAAATAATTTCCACATGATGCATAATAGGGACGAGTTGCAAGGCCTGTAGTACTTCAACTTGGCCATGAAAGAATTCAAAAGTGTTTAGCGACAAATTCGATAGTCACGTAGCCTTTAGGATTGAGTACTGCTATATTTCACCTATAGTTGTTTGTGATGTATATTTCATTTTGCAGCCTACTCGTTCAAAACAAATTACCTTCATATTTATTATCAGCAAATGAGTTACCTATTTATTTAATTACTTTTTTTTAATACTGAACTTTAAACAAAAATATGCGTCAAGAAAAAATGGCGAGTATTCTTGTTACTTATATATGCTGTCTCCCGTAATGGTTTCAAAATATACATATATTTGATACTTCCGACAATTTCTAAGATTTAAGAATAAATAATTACGAGTATTGCAACTGAAGTATTATCGCACAATGTCCTGGTTTGACTGGACTATGGATTCTTGTGGTTCTTTAGCGAAACCGGACAGCTTGACACTGATTGAACAATTCAAACGGCTAGACTATTAGGTTTAGCTTAAGAGAGTGAATGGGCATCCAGATCCCATTCTTCTGTATATTCACGTTTAGTGAATAGGTGGTCAGCCCGAATCCTCAAGACCAACATATAGCAGGATGCTTAACGAGGTAGCTATCTTTGCTTTCGGTGGGGGGGGGGGGGGGGGGTGAACGAGTGAGTGTCTTAAGCCACCTTTAACTCGACACAGTATGATACTGAAAATTTCACCTGACTCTCAATAGTATTTTTAGATTCTCCGATAGGCAGAGAAATCAAGCAGAGCAGAAAGTTTGTCAGAAATGAGATTCGAATCCGAGTCCAATACTTCTGACCTCGGATGTGATCATAAAAAGGGAAGCTGCTCTAGTTCGCGTAAAATGATGCCAACATTGCGAACCACAACAAAAGATAGACCAACTGTTGATACACCATTTGAGAGAAAATGAAAGAAAGGGATGAGAGGACGAATTGATATTTATGACATGGGCTGGCAGGTAATTAAAACTTTACGAGGAAGCCATTTCCCAAGAAAAGTACGGGGTATCTGGCCATAAATTGACCCCCTCTGTAACTTTTTATATGACCTTCCAGAAGCAACAGTTATTTATAGGGTTTGATATGATGCTTTTCATGTAATATTTTTTGTCTCAGAAAAGTGCTACCGATTAAAGTTGTATGTTTCAAATAGAACACCCTGTATATTTTCAGGGAAAATGATAGTTTTGCCAAAAACTTAAACTTTGTGTGACATTAATTTACTCATGTATATCAAAATTCGAACCAGTTTGTAACTAGCCGCCTATGCAATCTGGTATGCGGCCGAAATACATACGATTAAGCGACTAATGCCTTAAAAATAAGTTCAACAAACCATATATATTTCAGAATCAGAAAAAAAGAAACGATCGTTTTCACTGAAAATATACATAGTATATCATATTTGAAGAAATATAAGTTTATCCGATGGCGCTTTTCTCAGAGGTATACAAAAAAATATTACATATCCTATTAGAACCTGACACTTATATGCGACCTTTTCTTCTAGAAGATCATCTAAAAAAGTAATTTTTTCTTAACTGCTGCTTCATTTTGTGCCATACAGTTTCGATA